CACCTTTCCCTTTTCCTCTGCTTCCAGTGATCTAACTGATGTCCTTACATGCCGCAGAACCAAGGCTACAGAATGGATCTGAGCAAGTAACTGAAAGGTCATTTGACACTTCATCTCATTTCACAACATACTGCAGTGATTCAGTTCAAATACATGAGCTCAAACAGAGACTTTTATCCCAGGTTTCCTGGGAAGGGAACTTGTCTTCGAATTTAATAAAAGCACATCATTCCATAGCCTCTTTGATATCATGCACTTCTCCAACTTACTAGGAGTTTAAGAGAGACTTTCTCTGGCATGTACAAAGACCCTTCTGACTTACAAGCCTATTCCAAGTGCCTTCCAGAACTAGCTGCAATATGGAGGGGTTTCTGCCTGTGAACGTCTCTTACAGGAGTCTTTTCTGTTTCCTCAAGCTATAAAGGATGATGGCAGGATACTCAGAACTCTACCAGCAGCTGCAGTCTCAGATAGCTTGCTGCTATGGTAAAACTCCTGTGCTTGCCACAGAGGAGCCCTGTCCTTCTGCCATCTCGGGTCCCTCAGATTAAGACTACAGCTGAGAAGTTTTTTTCATTTTCTAAATCCCCAGGGTCAGTCACAGTGAGTCTGCTCTTCACTGTGTCACCAAACCTCTGTTAGTCCCATTACATGCAGCTTTCATGACCACTCCATTTCCCATGCTTCTCTGTTTGGAAAGCATTCAACCCTATGAAAAGATGACAAACTGGAAGCAGAGAGAGATGTATGGCTTCATGAGACGGAAAAGAGAGAAACAGGAAGGAAACGCATAGGTGTCAAAATGAATGCTGCATGTGGGGACTGAAAGGCTGTCCTCCCACTGGTACCATGATTCTTCGATACATAAAGGCACAAGAGGCATCTTCCAAACCAAACCCCTTTTGTTGCCTTCCCCTACCTTGCATTTCACCAAATGTGGTTGCAATTTTACCCTTCTGATGCTGTGCCAGAAGACCATCTTATCTTGATTAAAATGCTCTACGACACTTTGAAAACAGATAATCTACATCACATGGTTATTGCTTTATGTCCACTTTGGATCCTGAATTCACTGAAACTTGACTCACATCCCCCTCTCCAGTTAGTACAATGTTAACAACTTGCTGGACCTGTGACACCTCTCAGTCCTCCCGTGTTCCCTGTCAGCTATAGAGGTGTACTAGTGAGCTTTAAGCTGGAATAATTACTAGGTATGTCTGCTACTAGCCTGAAAAACAGCAGCAGGTTACTCTCTCCAGAACACTGAGCTGTTAGGCTGCATCCACCTATAGTCTTTGCTGGTCTGAAATAGACATCTTACCTAACAAAAGACATGCCCAGATAAAGAAATCAGTGTACTGTATTGTCACCAATTTGTCTGACCATAATTTTCACATACATTGCTGAATATTCAGTCACTGAAAAAATGCAGTTACTTAAAAAAAAGAAGACAAACACTGCTATTGTACAGCCTGGTTCAGAGCCCCATATCTTGAGCTGATTCAGCTTATCTGCCTTTCTATACCTTTGACAAACGTATGTCTTATATCATATGCCTTACTGCTTTTCCTCCATGTATCTTATCTCCAAACGATGTGCTATTAATCAGCCAAAGACACCCTTCACTGCTAAGTGTTCCTCAACTGATTTTTCATCAGCACAAGTAGTTACTAGTTACAGCATTCCTCCCACATGCTAAAGGCTTGGGGGGGAGGGAGGAGGGATGGCAAGGAGGTTAGAGACTGCCTCACCACATACGTACTATCTGGGACCTTTATACCAACTTGCCAGTTTGCTGTGATGATAATGTTGCTGTTTGTTCTCAACCAAGGTACATGGTGGGAGGAAAGTGGGACTGCACCCTGTCTTATTTTTTAAGTTATTAACCTTCATGCTCTTCCCTTTTCCTGATTAATCTGGCTGGATGCCTGTTCAGTAGTAGCTGAACCTTAATACCTGAAACAATGTGGGTATATACACTGTGCCAGTAAGGCTTGCCCAGCAACGCTCATTCTGTCATGTTTTCCCATGCCTTGTGTCAATATCTCATTTTAAATGCAAGCCCCCAGAGCCAGAGTAGGGGATAGGAAAAAAAGAGAGGCATGGAAGGAGGGAGAGGGGGGGAAAAAGAGATGGAGAGAAGAAAGTAGGGAAAAATTACATCCCTTGGGAACGTCAGCTGCTGTGAACTCACCCTCTCCTCACAATGAAATGAGCTGTGTGCGGGCACAGGTGGGTCCCATTCTCTGTTACTAGAGCACAGCCTACAAGCAGGGTCTAAATGAAGACTTTCATTGCTGTTCCCTGTTTTCATTGGAGTAAGGCCATCACAAACATTTGCAGGTGGCTTGGCCATAGTCTGACATTAAAATATTTGTGGTTGTGATAAAAATCAGAATATTGCTACAAGATGGTTCTATATAACCTTTAGGGCTTGATCCTGCTCTTACAGAACTCAGTGAGAGTTTTAGCCAGTTGCTCTGATGGTTTTATTGCTCATTAAAAGGCATATTCCCTGGCACAATTCTCCATGGTAAGGACCCGTCTACCCCTTGGGGCAGCTTCAGATGTTTTTTTTTTAAAAAAGGGGGGGCGAACCCAACCCAAAACCACTGATTTGAGCACCTCAGAATCTAGGCTTGTTAAAAAGCTGAACCATCTCAACTTTGTAAGGCCAAACCAAAACCACCAAACTTTGCAGAACTCAAATATTTTCTGAATCCATCTGGATTTTTCTTCAGTTGCCTAATATCAAAACCATGGTCCAGTCTGTATTCCTTGTGAATGAGTCTTAGATATAATTCATAGCACGTTTAGAAGGATAAGATGAAGATAAATAGAAATGACAAGATATATTCTTTGAACAAATAAAACAAGCACCATAGGGAAAAGACTGAAGGAACAGATGACAAACAACAAGGATGCTCAACACTTTGGCAAGTAGATGAAGTCGAAAATGCAGCAATTATCTCCTAGGACACACCATGAACAAAATACAAAACCTCCTAGGAAGAGGGAAGAATGGGGAACAGAGTATGCTGGAGGTCACACCATAAGTCTCATTCACACACCAACTCACACAGAGACTAAAATGCTGACAATTGCCTCCCAATAGAGCAGCTTCAGAGTCAGACTTAGGAAACATTTGTGTGATTCAGTCATAGGGGAAAATTAAGATATGTCATGACAAAGTTTCCCAAATGAGACATTTACCACTGACTAGGAAATAGGCCTTTTATCCTCAACCCCTCCAACTCTGGAGATTCTAATCACCGTGGCCCCAAACCAACGCAAACCTTAAACCTGACTGACAGGGTCTTGCAAAACCACATGCAGTTTTTTTCTCATTATATAGAAACAATTGTTTGGAAGCCAAGTACAGTCCCATATAAAACACCTCACCACTAAGTATTAAAAGTTGTTTGGTGTTTCTTTTTTTGCTTTTAATTAGGATCATAATTACCACTAGACCTATTAAGTCACATTTTGAACAGGAGCTTAATCATCCTTAACCCAAATAATGGCATTAGCTGTTTTTCTTTCTAAAACTGAAAAAGAAACTGTTTCGTCCTTTCTCCCAGCCCCCTGACTTTGAACAGAATGGGACATATATAAGACAACAACTTTCTTGGATTCACAGGTGAACAGTGTTGCACATGAAATCCCAGTGAACACTGTGTTTTGTCAATATGTAACATATACATAGGGACATCTATCAAATATGTTTACATGACCCATATCAGATTTCTATATTAAGAACCAAATCCTTAAATAGCAGTAAAAAGGAAAAAAGAGGAGCTTTATCAGGAGTGAAAAACTGGGGCAGCGGATGGGACTCATGTCCTGTGCGTGCCTGGGTAACCCTTACAGCAGTCAGTGCCATGGGCCATCCCTGCCACCACGGCAGTGGGAGATGGAGAGCCTGTGGTCTGCATCCTTCCCCAGCCACCAAGAATCTTGAAAGAAAACGCAGGAATAACTGGATTTTGAGTTTTCAATGCCAGGATTTCACTTTACACTTTTACTCTGAAGAGACTGCAAGTTGCTCGTCAATTATTTAGACAGTGACTGGGGACAGAGACTGCTTTTGCATTCATCATATAATGGATGTGACCAAATTACAAATGACAGATAATGAATCTAGACTGCTGCTTCTTTCTTAGTTCACTGATACATCTTTTTATCCATATGTTTTCATGCAGAAAAGCCCCCAAATTCTCAGACTTGTGTGATGAAAAACTGTACCCTCAAACCATCTGGGCAGTTTCTGTATAATTTAAAACAAGTTATTGTGACTTATGAGGACCTCATCTTTGCTGGAAGTAACTGAGTGTACAAAACATGGATGTTTTTGTTCATATAGTTCTCCAAACATGAGCACACAATTGGCATTCAAGCCAATATAATAAGCATCCATACTGTCAATTTATGGGAATAAATATAGATCCATCATCTCAAATTGAGCAACTGTTCACAGAGGTCTCTGTGCCAAACTCCATTTACCTTGTGGGTCTTTTTATTTTGTCTTCTAGCATTCCTCAGTTAAACAGACTACATAGGAAATAGCTCAATCCCGCTGAGCACCCAGAATTCCATTGAAGGAAGTGAAAGGATCAGCTTCAGAAATACTCCGTCTTTCTTCCCACAGCAGTTACAGAAACAACATGAAAATTGAATGTAAGCAGATAAAAACAAAAAACTGGATGGAGAAAGCAGGACTACCCTCAAGTACAGCACTCTGCCCCTTTTGAACCAAAGTGCCAGGTCTGGAGCAGATGTAGTAACCTGGCCACTCCCCCACAGTCTGCAGTGCATGTTGCAGGGGTCCTTGCTGCATGCTGACAGGAACAAGTGCAAACTCCACAACCTCAAGAACCATGAGGACAACATCTGGTGTTGCACGCAGCTGAACCTTAAGAATGATGAGGACAACATCTGGTCCTACATGCAGCTGCTGGAGCCAGAGAACTGGAGAAATGAGAAAATGGAAATGGACTCACCCAATCTGTCGATTTGTGGAAGGTGCTTGTGTAATGACCGAACTGGACTGTGGAGATGGCATGGCTTGTTGAATCACAACGCTGGTGTCGTGGTTTGGCATCCTTGTATTTGTCAGCTGATGAGATCCAGGTCCTGCCATTGCTCCTCCAACTGTGTTATGCATGGAGATATTCTATGAAAAGAAGGAAAATGGGAGATGGTGGAGGAAAATCAAAAAGAAATTAATGTCTTATCTTGGTTTTCTGTTCCATAGGAACACAATTAGAAATCTGAAAGCATCAACAATATAAAATTTACTGGCTCCCGGTAAATTCCAAGTCAATAGATCTTGTAACCAACAAGGATAAAGAAATGAAAAATAACTATTTGCTTTTACAGGGCAATATAAATGGAAAAATACCCACAAGTTGACTAATCACTCTTCTGTGATTCTGACTTATGATTTATAATGAGGATATTTAGCACATATCCTCCTAACTGAACACGATATATATTTTGTTTGAAAATTACTTCTGTGGTGAGTGCGGGGCACCTTGATTTACTACATGGGTTGTTTACTGTGTACTAGGTCTGCTTAGCCTGACAAGCAAATCAAGTTTTATAGTCCCAAAGTAACAAACACTACATGGTACGTCACGAAACAGCCATTTCTATTAGCCTCCATATATTTTGTAGAGCAATAACATCCCAGAGGCCCAGAATAATTGCACTGTATTTGCACATATATAACCTTTACTTCAGGTAACTTGGAGCCCTTAAAAAAGTTATTTAAAAAAAGTAGTTCACAGATCACTCATATCCACAGAGTGAACAAGCCATGAGATACCGGGATGCTGCTAAGGAAGGAACCATGGAATAAAATTTCTCTCCTGTTATGCCTGCACACACAATACACACTGCTGCTAAACCGCAGGGTTTGACTTGGCCCACGTTTAAAAACAAACAAAATTCTCAAGCCAGAGATAACCCACAGTGTATACATATGAAAAATATGGTAACCTTGAGAGCATTATTCTTCCTATCAGGCATCAGCCTGTGGATTGTTAGCAGTAAGAGGAAAAGAAACTTCCCATTGTCACCTCATGCTAGGCTGAGGAAAAGGGAAAAAATACCTTTACAGACACACTCTGCCACAAAGGCTCAGGCAAAGCATCTTCCTGACTGCTGCAATACTCAAGATTGAAAATCAAAATTCACTCAGAATTCCAATTTATAACCCAATTTCTCTAGGAAACACATAAAACCCACAAAATAACAATAGATAAAGCTGATGAGAAAGGAAACTCAGAGCTCTGATCAAATGTGGGGGACAGGAAAGGCAGACAACATACCAAATCCCAGAATGAAAGATTGCATTCTGAAGCAGAACATGAATAAACGCTTTAGATTGCATTCCTCATGGAAAAGGAGCCAATAATTAGAGGACCCACACTAAAGGCCTTAGCTGTCATGCCCCTGTCCCCCAATTCTTATATATTTCAGGTGATTTCCCAGGCTACTGTGGACACAGGGAGATCTCTGTTTCTTTCACAGAAGTTGTTCCAGACTTCATAAACATATAAAGTAGGCAGAGGTGCTGCCTATAGCTGCATGATTAGACCACTCACTCAGTATGAAGCAGGCTCAGCCCTGAGTTCCTCTTCTAGTAAATAACTTACACAGTATAAATCAGGTCCAGCAGCTCCAGTATTCACTTAGGAGCACAGATTGTGAAAGGAAGCCAGACCAAGGACTTTAACTGTATTTTTTCATAGCCCAGTAGTATGGGATGACCATCAGGCAGTAAGAGAGAATAACCTTAGATACCTGGAAACTTTTCTAAAAGAAATTCTCCCTCATCTACCACATTCCTATTAAAATGTCACTTCTTCAATGGATTAGTGTTTTCTGATGAGAGACCTGTTCTCTTTAAAAAAAAAATAAATAAACAATTTATATATAATATGAATATATACAATATGCGTATATATGTATATAAATATATACGAAAATAAAAAATCTAGTTTAGGATTCAAAACTGCACTGACTTTTTTGATCATTACTAGATTTTGCAAAACTAGGTCTAATATCTATCTATCTGCAAGTGAATCTTTTAGCGCTATCACTTCCTAAAGCTTCTCCTTTATATTAAGTGTGTGTATTTCAATTAAAACCTATCAATACATGGTATTTACTTGTTTCAAAGTTCTCCCTCATTTAATTTCTCCTTTATACTGCTTCCACAGTTTCTGAATCCTTCCAAGTATTTCTGTATTGCCTGTTTGCTTTCAGTAGTACGTTTCTTAGAGCGAATATTAAATTGCAAGACAGGTATACAGTACTTGTACCTCTGGGTCCATAGGGGAGCAACAAAGAAGAAAAGCATCAGTCACTCACAATCAGTTTACCCTGCAGTGCTGCACAACTGCCCCTTGCCATTGCCAGCACAGATCTTCTGCCTGCACATGACCACCTTGCTTCCAAAGAGGGCTGTCTGCACAAAGCCAGAGCATTGGCATGAAACTGTCCAGAATTCAGAAAGCCTTTCTCTAGATCACAGACTCCAGACCACAGATTTCCAAGAGCTACAGAATACAGATCTGCTACATGGGAGGCTCCTTAAAGCAAACATGAATGGTGCCATGAGTCCATGAGGCCTAGGAAGGGACAGGATGTAAATCCATCACGAGCTTTAGACAAGTGGTACTCCAGCACTTGCCCAGATTTTGACTGGATTTTGTTGTACTGTGGCAGGGCAGAACTTAAAGATTTAATATCAGATTCCTGTGCTCCTAGATTCAGTATTTCCATTTTCTTCTCCTTCTCTTTCCCTTTTCTCCTATAATTCCAGACCTCTCTAAGGTACAAATCGTATGCATTATGATGGGCATGAAAAATTTTGTTTACGCATTAAGACATTGTAATCATTAGCTTACATGCATAAATTTGTAATGCTGTTTAAAAGTTTTCACAATTTCTAATAAACCGTATCTTTTCAGAAAGTAGGCTGAATATGTGATGCACAGAAAGCAAAAACAGAACGAAAACCAGTCAATGCATCCAAATGTCCATTCTTCTCAGTAATGCAAGCACTGTTGTTGGGCATGAACTATACCTTTATACTATGCTGCCAAGAAAAAGCCTAAGATTTCCCAACAAAATGTCAAACTCAGCATGACTCTCACATTCATAAGAAAAGGATTTGGCAATCTCAGAATAATTTACATCAGTGAGATGCTTGTGAATTTACAGAGAAGTTCAAGCAAGTTCATACTTAAATGACAATGCCTATGCTTTGAAAGATGGCAGGAAGGTAATGCACAATAGATCTGACACTAAGCCTATCTGATCTACTCATATGCATCATGACATGCAGAATGGCTCTATATCACCAGCACAGCAAGACTAGGCTTGTTGCCTGTGCGGTGCAGATGGTCTTCAGAACTCCCAGAATGACCTTGCTGTGTTGAGCTCTGCACCTGACTCTGAATGGATCTGGATAGGATATTAACGAGTTCCTTGCAGACTTGACTTTGGGCCCTCATAAAACAGCAACATCGGCCGCAACTGAGACCTCCACTTTATATTTGAATTGTTATTTGGCTAGGCTGCTTCCAGCTCTACTTTTAAGGAGTTCTGCATGCTCTTCCACCAGGGATCCATGAAGAACATCTCACTTTGACTTCCCTTTTCATTATCCTCCAGCTCTTGAGCCAATGGTTAAGATTAATTGATAGTAGGCAAAGAGCTCCCAGCACTCCACCTCAGAGAAGTCGACAGGAGCCATGATGCAGACAAAGCTCTCCCTCTGCTTTTAACACTCCCAAGACCCATCCATACTCGGAGGGACTATGACACACACTCAGAGTTTTCTGAGATCTTCATAACCGTCCTTCAGCAATAGAAGGACAGAATGAGTTTATTAACATTAGCCATTTTATTAAACTGAACCTAAATGTTCACACAGGGAACAGGCCACCCACATGCCAGGAGCTGTAGAGATATGAAAGACATCCCCTGCCCTTAAGATTCATTTAACAGATCTTAATTAAGATCCAATAAATTAAGAGAAATTTATTTCCTCTAGGACTGTTTCATCCTCAAAGTTCCCAGTCACTGTCACTGAAACAGAAACTAGGATTATAACACTGAAGAGCTTTTATAGAAATGCCCCCCTTGCCCATGTGCTCATACTGTACTCTACAGCAGTATTTAATATTCAAATAAATAAAACAAACAAATAAAAAAAGCCATATCCACAAACCACTTTTAAATTAATGTGCTCATTCTCAAACTTTCCAGCTGCAAGAGGAAAGGGAACAGATCATCACCAGCTTGACTTCTCCCCAGTTACACTGTGTTCCCCATTTTGCTTCAGACTTTCAAGAAAACATTTGAGCATTTTTCTCTCACGTGCAACCATTTAACGTTGGATAGGCAACACACTTCTTTTTTCTAAAGGCTAAAAACTTCTTGAAGTCATGCTTCCATGTTCTGGTGGAGAGGATTACACATCACTCCAGAAGAACACACACCCTGTTGGCAAGCACAGCAATGACGGCCCCGCAGACACAGGCGAAATACACCCCATGACTCCAGGCAGCCACCATTTCCACTAAACCCTGGTTCACCCATCCATGTCACACAGTACCACCTGCGTCACACATCTCCATCTATGAAGGCAAGGGATGAAGGCAGATCCATCCTTTATGATTCATTGTAATATTCTGAGCTTCAGACAGAGTTTGTACTTCCTGAATGAAAGCTATCTTATATTTTCCTACCATTCTTTTTTAACTGTGAGGATTAATGAAAATTGCAAATACCAGTTCTACACAAACTGAAGACTCATTCAGGATTGTTCTGAGTGAGCTTTTGGATCAGGCTGTCATCTACAACCAATTGCACATAAATGTATTTTGCAGACAGTTATACAAATTCTAAAGTTAGAAGGCATTTGCCATGAAAAAATGAGAGAAAATACAATTTGTCTAAAGGAAGATAAAAGCATTTTTTTTCATTTTTTTTATTTTCTGAAAAGAATCATTTAACTCTGTTTTCCCAAACAGCAACTTTAAATATTTTTCAAATAATTCAAGAGAAAAGGCTTCAACTTTAAAAAAAAATTTAAAAATTAAAGACAGAAATCAAATACTCAGCAATATTTCAGAATTTATATAGCCTGGCCTCTCA